ACATGTTTTAGCGCCCTTAGCTCTCTTCAGTGAATGCAGAGCGACTGTGTGGTGTGTGTGTGTGTGTGTGTGTGTGTGTGTGTGTGTGTGTGTGTGTGTGCATGCATGCCTGTGTGTAGATGTGTATAGGTGTGTGTTCGTGCGCGCATATTATTTGTGTGTGTACCTGGGAGAGAAAGGTTGCCACGGTTACAGCGGGGTGTGATTCAGTATTAATGAACAGACACGTACGCCTACGCAGCAAACTGAACAACAATCTCACATAGACCTCCCCTCTGCACTCTCTTTCTCTTTCTTTTTTATCCCCCATGGTTGTGATTTATAGAGTGGCCATGTTCACATTGAGGTTGATGTGTTTAAAGAGAAATCTAAGGTATGCAGCTCAAGTCCTCCATCGTAAATTCACTGAGTGGGTTTCTGGGTTGGAAGACCTCACACTAAGAGAAAGTCCTAAGACTTCTCACAACTGGTACCCTTTAGTGTGTCAGGTTTGGTCCAAAAAAACGTATTCAACCAAAGGAAGTTGTGATGGCAAAGTAGAGTTTTCACATATGTAGTTCCATTGGAGAGGGAGAGGGATGTGGTGAGGGAGAGAGGGAGAGAGAGAGAGAGGGACCCTATGTGGCTCTGATCAAAGGTAGTGCTCTGAGGAAAATGGGGTGACACAGAGCTTGTTTCTGTTTGACACGTCCAGTTCAGTCTCATGGTGGTTGAGGTTTATATTAGCAGAGAGTGAGTGTGGCAGTGAGAGATGAGAGGTCCTCTACATTAGCAGTGACCCTGACCCCATAGTGCCTGTGATGACCTAAACAAACTGTTATTACCTACTCAGACTCTCTCTCTCAACCTCCAGCTAGCTCTCTCTCTTTTCCATCGCCCAACCGCGCGGTGGCTGCGGGCTGAGTCACAGGAATCTCGGGGCCCCGAGCGGGCATAACGAGCAGGGAGGCGGAGGCGCGTCGTAGAGCAGAGAAGATGAGCAGAGGAGAGCTCTGCGAGTAACGAGCTAGAGCTCTCGCGGCGGGAGCGACGAGCATCGAGCGCTAGTAGCTGCTCTCTCTCTCTCCCTCTCTCGCTCTCTCCTCTCTCTACTCTTCTCTCTCTCTCGCTCTCTCTCTCTCCTCTCGCTCTCTCTCTAAATAAACCAACCAACCCCTGTCATGGAACTCAAGCCTTTCCTCTCCACCACAGAGCACCCAGAGCTGTATGCAGGTCATAAAAACAACGTGGGTTTGACGTAGTTCAAACACACACACGACAAATAAAAGGACCAGTGTGTTTACCCTAACCCCTCTCTGCTGCACTCTAACATGCCCACTACTTCCTAATTCAATTACAACTTGAAAGCTGCAAAGTGGTCATCAAGGATATCAAGGACATTGACAAACACTCTCAAAGGGGATTAGCCATTGCCAAACTTAGGCTGGTGTTGCGGAGGTGGTTTGCATGACGAGTGACCTTAACTGGGACTTGAAAACTCATTTTTGCTCCCAGGGTTAATATCTAGGCTGTAGCCTGGACAACTCAAGACTGTAGTTCAAGGGTAGTTCAAGGGTGAACAGCTCCACTCTTCAAGGGCCACATCCATAATTACTTTGGTCCTTGCCTTTTAAGGGACTGAATTCTACCTGGGAAATTACCAGCTCTCTCCAAGCTTTAGGTGCCAGGGAGGAAGGATAACCAGCAGGAATACAGAACTCAAGAGCCTGGGTTGTTCACCCTCAATTTAGAAGCTCTCCTAAGTGACACCATAGAAGGCTGGCTTCAGTATCAGTGGAGCTGCGTTCAAGGGTTTGTGTTCAGAGCCACCGTACTATAGCCCAGTGCAGCAGAGTAAACAGGGCTCATATGTAGCTCTGCAGGACATTCAATGGAGGCTATTAGCTGCTGCTGCCTACCCTGTTACAACCAGCAGAGCCACACAAACACACATACACAGCTGCTCTGCTGTATACCCTGTGTTACAGTATGAGATCCAAACCCCAGAGAGCTGGCCCTGCATGCTACTGAAACCACAGCCTGTTAACCTCTGGACCAGACACACACACACACACACACACACAGTGCTATCAACCCCACAGATCTAGCTAGTCCTAATGGGGAACACACCCCTGGAACGTTAATGTAATGTAGAGTTCATGTCTGCAGTAATACCTCTGATTACTGGGTAAACTGATACAGTGTAATACATATCAGTCATCACATACATCTTGATTGTGGTTTGTTAACACAGATGGTTTAGTGTGCAAATCATTACAGTGGTAATCTGAAAACCCTGATAGCTTGCTGTGCTGCTGCCCTCAATGTGTCCTTTACAGTTTCTCTGTTGGTTCTCTGATGCTCTTGTCTATCTTGGGCTGACTCTACTCTGGTCTCTGTGGTTCCATATACAGTAACAAATCCATGGATGGGAGAGTTGCGTTCAGGCTTTCTGATACACGTGCTGAATCGCAAATTAACCCCTAGCACCAGGGTTGCCTAATGCCTACCCCTGTGCACTCGACATCCCATCTCACTAGTGTTGGGAAAAAAAGTAATTTGAAGGAGAGAGAGGGAAATGTGTGTCAGGCTTTCAGGCGCAAAATCTACTGTTACCAGCCTGTGTAATGTACGTGTAGTGGTCATGTGTTAGATTGGCTGTGTGTGTGTTATTATAGGATCACTAGCAGACCAACATAATCATTTAAATACGCTTGCCTTTCCAACTGTGGTTTCTGCATTTCACAACCCTTCTAACGCTGATCTGCTGTAAACCTATCTTTGTTTTACATACACTCGCGTATGAACGTGCACACACACACACACACACACACACACACACACACACAGGGCTGAGCTGTCCCTCTCCATACCACCTCATTACTGGGCTCTCTCCTGGTCAGAGTCTGACCCCGCTGGTTAACTCTAATTTCAGAACTGTGTGTGTGTGTGTTCTCCTTTGTGTGTGTATGTGTGTGTTTCCGCGTATCCGTGTGTGTGTGTGTGTGTGTTGGTTAACTATAATTTCATATTGGTTTTAATCCCATGGTGTCAATCTCCATTCCAGGGTAATTTATGTTGGACACGCTCCCCATCTCAGCACTCAGCTCTTTCTGTGACTGTGTGTGTGTGTATGAGCGTGCGTGCATGTCTAGTGGGTATAGACTTGACTAAGGGCAGGGCAGAGGCAGATGCAGCCCATGTACAGTCCAGTGTTTCTCAGTAAGGCTGAATAGAGGAGTAACAGAAGTCAGTCCTTTACATACTAACCCATAATGAATGGTGGCTCCCTCCCTGGCCACCATTATAAGTAGAAAGTGATTTACTCTGCTCATTTGGGACAGTGAGAGAAACGTACTGCCCTCACTGGCTGTGTGTGTGTGTGTGTGTGTGTGTGTGTGTGTGTGTGTGTGTGTGTGTGTGTGTGTGTGTGTGTGTGTGTGTGTGTGTGTGTGTGTGTGTGTGCCTACGAGAGGGAGAGAGAGAGAGAGAGAGAGGAGAGAGGAGAGAGAGAGAGAGAGAGAGAGAGAGAGAGAGAGAGAAAATGTGAGCATAATATGGACAGGGAGAACTGTAAATTGAGCCAGAGTCGACGCAGGCAGCAGACACTGACAGCGTCTTATTACTCAGCTCCCATTAGACTATGGGTCAGGTTCCTGAGCACAGTGGGACTGCCGTTTGTTTTCTCATCTCATTATTTATTGTGATCGTTTCTTGGCCAAGGCCCAAATCTCACAGGACCTTTTTATTTAATGTTAAGTATAATTGTTGTTAGATGATTAACTTGAACATAACTCCGTCCAGAAATAAGAACCTTCCCTGTCCTCACAGACATCCATCAGCACAGAAACAACAACTACCGTCACGTTTCCATAACAACTGGGGAACGATAAAGTAGAGATGGAGTGATTGGGAAAGACAGCGCAGGGAGGAGAGAGATGGAGGATACATCATCACTGGTCTCTGGAGTGGACAGCTATAGAGAGATGGAGTCATATTGTAATAGGGAGGGATATATCCAATGCTACTTTCATAATTTCTAACTGTATAAAGAGGATGTATGGAGAATTTCAAATGTGTGTCTAGTATACAAATGTGAGATATAGCTTATTACTAGGGCCCGAGTTCTTCCTGGTCAAGTCAGGTCAACTCCTGGCCCTAGGCATGTAGGGATGTATCCCAGGGTGTTTGTGAGTTCAAGAAGTCCAACCTGACCTTGGTATTAGCCTTGCTAGCTGGGAATGGTGTTCTTCATGAGAAGGGGGAGTGGCAGACTTGGTGACTGTGTCCAACTCACTGTGATGGATTCTCAGCCCTGCCATAGAGGGCAAATAACTCTGGTCTACCAAGGCTGTTTGTTAGGAAGGGATTTCTGACTAACTTAATATAAGCACTGTCTAATCCGGCAGTATCTATCTCTAGGACTCAGTGACTGGGGTGATCTGGTGGGGGGCTCCTCCTCCAAAGCCATCACACACATCTTCTCTATGACTGGGGGACACAGAAAGGTTTCCCAGACATGTGCTTAAACACACACACACACACACACACGGACAGACCTCCATGTTGAGTGGTTCATTCATAAAGGGGTCCTTGGGGAGACAGCTTATGCCCCATGCTCTAATAAAGGAGGATTTATGGTCTGTGCTCTATTATCTACTGTCCAGCCGTCCACACTGGGCCTGTCTCACTCTAGAACTGTCTCCCTCTCTGCCTGTCTCCCTCTCTGCCTGTCTCCCTCTCTGCCTGTCTCCCTCTCTGCCTTTCTCCCTCTCTGCCTGTCTCCCTCTAGGCCTTTCTCACTCTCTACCTGTCTCCCTCTCTGCCTGTCTCCCTCTCTGCCTGTCTCCCTCTCTGCCTGTCTCACTCTCTGCTTGTCTCCCTCTCTGCCTTTCTTCCTCTCTGCCTGTCTCACTCTTTGCCTGTCTCCCTCTCTGCCTGTCTCACTCTCTGCCTGTCTCCCTCTAGGCCTTTCTCCCTCTCTGCCTGTCTCCCTCTCTGCCTGTCTCCCTCTCTGCCTGTCTCCCTCTAGGCCTTTCTACCTCTCTGCCTGTCTCCCTCTCTGCCTGTCTCACTCTCTACCTGTCTCACTCTCTGCCTGTCTCCCTCTCTGCCTGTCTCCCTCTCTGCCTGTCTCCCTCTATGCCTGTCTCACTCTCTGCCTGTCTCCCTCTAGGCCTTTCTCACTCTAGGCCTTTCTCACTCTCTGCCTGTCTCCCTCTCTGCCTGTCTCCCTCTCTGCCTGTCTCCCTCTCTGCCTGTCTCCCTCTAGGCCTTTCTCCCACTAGGCCTTTCTCCCTTTCTGCCTGTCTCCCTCTAGGCCTTTCTCACTCTCTACCTGTCTCCCTCTCTGCCTGTCTCCCTCTCTGCCTGTCTCCCTCTCTGCCTGTCTCACGCTCTGCCTGTCTCCCTCTAGGCCTTTCTCCCTCTCTGCCTTCTCCCTCTCTGCCTGTCTCCTCTTGCCTTTTCTCCCTCTCTGCCTGTCTCACTCTCTGCCTGTTCTCCCTCTCTGCCTGTCTCCTCTCTGCCTTCTACCTCTCTAGGCCTGTTCTCCCTCTTCTTGCCTGTCTCCCTCTCTGCCTGTCTCCCTCTTGCTGTCTCCTCTCTTACCTGTTCTCCTCTCTGCCTGTCTCCTCTGCTTCTCCTCTCTGCCTGTCTCCCTCTCTGCCTGTCTCCTCTCTCTGTCTCCCTCTTGCCTTCCACTCTCTGCCTGTCTCCCTCTCTGCTGTCTCCCTCTTGCCTGTCTCCCCTCTGCCTGTCTCCCTCTCTGCCTGTCTCCCTTCTGCTGTCTCCTCTTGCCTGTCTCCCTCTAGGCCTTTCTCCTCTGCCTTCTCCTCTGCCTGTCTCCTCTCTGCCTGTCTCCCTCTCTTGCCTGTCTCCCTCTAGGCCTTTCTCCTCTTACCTGTCTCCTCTCTGCCTTGTTCTCCCTCTCTGCCTGTCTCACTCTCTGCCTTTCTCCCTCTGGCCTGTCTCCTCTCTGCCTGTCTGACCTCTGCTGTCTCCCTCTCTGCCTGTCTCCCTCTAGGCCTTTCTCCCTCTCTGCCTGTCTCCCTCTCTGCCTGTCTCCCTCTCTGCCTGTCTCACTCTCTGCCTGTCTCCCTCTCTGCCTGTCTCACTCTCTGCCTGTCTCCCTCTAGCCTTTCTCCCTCTCTGCCTGTCACCCTCTCTGCCTGTCACCCTCTCTGCCTGTCTCCCTCTCTGCCTGTCTCCCTCTCTGCCTTTCTCCCTCTCTGCCTGTCTCCCTCTCTGCCTGTCTCACTCTCTACCTGTCTCACTCTCTGCCTGTCTCACTCTCTGCCTGTCTCACTCTCTGCCTGTCTCCCTATATGCCTGTCTCCCTCTCTACCTGTCTCACTCTCTGCCTGTCTCACTCTCTGCCTGTCTCACTCTCTGCCTGTCTCCCTCTCTACCTGTCTCCCTCTCTACCTGTCTCCCTGTCTCCCTCTCTGCCTGTCTCCCTCTCTACCTGTCTCACACTCTGCCTGTCTCCCTCTCTACCTGTCTCCCTGTCTGCCTGTCTCACTCTCTGCCTGTCTCCCTGTCTGCCTGTCTCACTCTCTACCTGTCTCCCTGTCTGCCTGTCTCCCTCTCTGCCTGTCTCCCTCTCTACCTGTCTCACTCTCTGCCTGTCTCCCTCGCTACCTGTCTCACTCTCTGCCTGTCTCCCTGTCTCCCTCTCTACCTGTCTCACTCTCTACCTGTCTCCCTCTCTGCCTGTCTCCCTCTCTACCTGTCTCACTCTCTGCCTGTCTCCCTCTCTACCTGTCTCCCTGTCTGCCTGTCTCCCTATCTGCCTGTCTCACTCTCTACCTGTCTCTCTCTGCCATTAGAGTGGGTGACAGCAGCAGCAGCAGCAGCAGTTCTGAGGCTGTATCCTGGACAGGGACCTGGTTATACTTCTGTGGAAACAAGCTTGCAGAATCAAGTTAGAGATAAACATATTGTGAACGACCCTCAGTTGGGGGTTGGAGTGTGTGTGTGTGTCAGTGGAGGCTGGTGGAAGGAGCTATAGGAGGACAGGCTCATTGTAAAGGCTTGAATGGAATAAAAGGAACGGAGTCAAACGTGGTTTCCATATGTTTAATGTGTTTTATACCATTCCATTTATTCCATTCCAGCCATTATAATGAGTTTGTCCTCCTATAGCTCCTCCCACCAGCCTCCTCTGTTGTGTGTGTGTGTGTGTGTGTGTGTGTGTGTGTGTGTGTGTGTGTGTGTGTGTGTGTGTGTGTGTGTGTGTGTGTGTGTGTGTGTGTGTGTGTGTGTGTTGAAGGGGCCAGTAGGGTCGTGAGGTCATGGTCTGAGCCCTGATTCAACAACACAGTGTCTGTGCCTCCACCTTCAATAAATAGAGCCTTGCTTTCATACGTGCCACCCATCCATCAGTCCTCCCAATCCCCAGTCAGCCAGGCTATCACACTGGAATGAGTGTGTGCACATGCATGAATGAGTGAGTGAGTGTTGGAAAGTATGCCTACCAATGTAAAAGTCCCAGACAATTGCATTCCACTTGAAAAACATATTAGAGTGTTGGATTAGTGTAGTTGTGAATTGTTTGTGACCAATATGGAGCACAGATTGCTGTATGTCACTGTCTTAGGTAAGAACTGCCTCCTCAGAGCCTCAGAGGGCTTAGTGTGGCTGCTGGAGTTTATGACCCTTATCCACGCTTAGGAGGAGTCTGCATTTCACACATTAACACTCTCTCCATCACCTGCAAATGCCTGGTCCCAGACAAACACACACGCACGCACACCCCACCATCAACAACAACACCAACCACACTTCGTTAGCACAATGGAGCAATGTTTAGAGAAGTTCACACTCTAAATCACCTCACAGTGTTTGTTTGTGTGTGTGTGTGCAGGCAGGCATGTGGGTATGTGGTGCACGAATTAGTATGTGTGAAGTGATGAGACACTTAATTCGTTTTATTCCGTCAGACAACAGCTTCTGTGTACAGACCTGCCCAAACACACTACCATACACTACTCCTGCCAATACTCACTCTCTCTCTCTCTCTCGCTCTCTTTCTCTCACACACACGCACACACAGTGACATGACACTCTCCCTTTATTCACCTTGCCTGCTGTCTCTACAGTAGCTGGCATGGCTGCTCATTTCAACAGCAGAATAACAAACAGCTTCAGGTATATCTGTCTTCCTTTTTCCATTCCCTTCTTCTCACCCTATCACTCCTTTCCCTTCCCCTCTCCTCATCCCCACCCTCTCCAGCTGCCCTCTTCTTACTTCCTCAGTCCTCTAACTTTATCCTCCTCCCACTCCCTCTACCCTCCTCTCCATTCCCCTCCCTTCCTCTTCGCGTTCCTCTACACTTTGTGTGTGTGTGTGTGTGTGTGTGTGTGTGTGTGTGTGTGTGTGTGAGTGAGTGAGAGACAGAGACATGAGATAATATGATTCCTAATAAATTATAGTCTGAGTCATAGTAGCCTTTATTACATTTTAGATTAAGAAAAGTTATTGTTATTAGATAAAGAGTATGTATTTCTGAGATGAACCAGTGTCGGTCTACTGAGATGACGGTTTCATGGGTCTGAAGGAGGTCAGTGTAACAGGTTAGGTCTCACAGATATGCTGTATGAGTTCAATATTCCTTTTAGAATAAATCCTCTACCCTCATGAGTCCAAAAGCAGGGATGTTATGTCATGTCCTATCAGAGGGAGCTCTGGGGACAATTCTGTCCTAGGAATCACACTAAAAGTTGTTTTAGGAATAAACATTACCTAGCCCCTGGAGTTGTATAATATAGAGTTGGGTTTCTGTTATAGTAAAACTGCTCAAGTCTAAAGTGTTTCTTCGGAGTAAATCTCAGCTGATAATGACGACAGTTTGAAGTACTGCAAAGGACAGGTCATACTTTAGTACCGCAGAGATCCATCAGGCTCTAAAGAAACAGGCACACACACACATAACTTAAGGGAGATGGCATGTTATACAGTCGGCTCTGCAAAGATTCATTTAAATGATCCTCATAAATGGCCTCTACGCTCGTTCCTGCCCTCCTCCCCACCTCCCCTCCTCCCCACCTCCCCTCCTCCCTAACTCTCACACAGTTTTGGAAAGAAATGTGCTGTTAAAATAAGCGTGGAGAGGCCGGGGAAGATATGGAGAGATGAGGAGTTTGGATAACGTTAATTACATTTCTGCCAGGTTTTCATTTATTCATTTAGCATATTTGTCTGTCCATGAAATACGGTAGTTTAAGAGAACGAGATAGAGAGAGGAAAAGGGAAAGAGGGAGACAAGTATTGTGAGGAGGAGTGAGGAGTTGTCTAGTCCAGTGAGTCTCTTCGCCCATTCTTCTGTAATTGTGTGGGGCAGTGGTTGTGTCTGTGTCTGTGTCTGTGTCTGTGTCTGTGTCTGTGTCTGTGTCTGTGTGCGACTCCTCCAGGAGCCCCACTCTAAATCAGCTCTTATTAAAACAGTCCTATTTCAGCCTGCTAAACCACTGCTGGACTCATGGGTTATCACAATAACCATAAATCCCAATGCTCGCTGGCCGCACAACCCAGTGTGTGTGTATGTGTATGATATACGGTCACTTGGCTGTAGAAACTCATTAGGAGTTTCCCAGCGCTGTGCGAGGGGGGGGGGGGGGGGGGGGGGGGGGGGGGGGGCAGCAGTTACCGTAGAAACCTAGTTACCTCTGCTATCAATCACCTAGAGACCAGGACACAGTCCAGCTGTGTGTGTGTGTGTGTGTGTGTGTGTGTGCGTTGAATGTAATGCAATCCAAATATCATCCTTTTGTTTTTCCCTTTTACTCCCGTTTACCTTGAACTCTGTGACGTTTCAAACAAGATAAAGGAAAGGGAAAAAAGTGTCACATCCTGTAAATAATCTGAATTTACATACAGTATACATCTATGAGTCCTTTCCCAGCTAACAACAAATGTTCCCACAACTTTAGAGAACATTCCCTTAAGAGTCTCATTAGGTTATTAACTAACGTTTTCATTGGAATGTTCCCGTGATGTGCAAGGTATGTTTCCAAGAGACCATTCCCTTAATGTCAAATAGAACTTACCCAGAACGTGGTTACAGTGTTCTGAGAATTTAAGAGATTATTGTTCGAGACATGTTTCATGGGAACGTTTCAAGAACATTCATGTGTCCAGTTTTCTGTTGAGTAGGAAAATATCCCATCAACGTCCCGCCAAACATACACAGAACATGGTTGCCATGTTCTGTGAACATAAGATATTAATGTTCTAGTCAAGTTTCATGGAAATGTGGCAAAAACATTCATGTGTCCAGTTTACTGTGGGTTAGGAGAATATTCCATCAATGTGGTCCTCTGTAACTCAGCTGGTAGAGCACGGCGCTTGTAACGCCAGGGTAGTGGGTTCGATCCCTGGGACCACCCATACACAAAAAAAATGATGCACGCATGACTGTAAGTCGCTTTGGATAAAAGCGTCTGCTAAATGGCATATTATTATTATCAATGTCCCACCAAACCCGAAATATGACCATACTTCCACAGTGAACGTTATTTATAATAATTGTTACATGGAGAAGACGCTCTCCTGGACAAGATTTAAAAAATACTAAACCTTAAGCTTGACTGAAATTTAAAAAGCATGGCCCATTCCATTTTCCTCCAGGTACCCATTATGTAAATGTCGATCCATCCCTTATCAGTATTTATTAATTCTATATAGCTAAGCATCTCTCCATCATCTTCTTGAAATCCACACCACCTACCATGTATATCATTAATTGAAAAGTTCAAGAATGGATATAGCAACTACAGATTGCCCTTTTAACATGTTATGATTTGTTCCAAGTGATTCTGTTGCAATTTGTCTGTTTTTCCACATTAAAACTTGGAGATGGAACTCTGTGTTGTGTATTGTTTTGGTATAACTGGCATCATCATTGCTTAAATGGCAAATGTGAGAAAGTACAGACATGCTACTGTAAACATACATATTTCTGATATTCTGCGAATATGGCAACCATGTTCTGGGTGTGTTTCTATCAGAAGCAACACTACCACATGGACCATGTTTCGGCAACAAATTAGTAATGTTACAGATAGAAATGCAATGACGAGAGCTGATGTGATTCCTAATCAGAGGAACATGGAATATGTGGTGTGGATATCAAGAAGACGATAGAGAATTCTCTTTGAGATGCTCAGCGATCTAGAATTCTACCGATTCCCATTTTCAATGAGAAACACATTTTAATTCGATCAGATAGGTGTGTTGTAAATGTTGCCAAATAATTACATGAACATACAGTTGAAGTGAGAAGTTTACATACACCTTAGCCAAATACATTCAAACTCAGTTTTTCACAATTCCTGACATTTAATCCTAGTAAAAAGTACCTGTCTTAGGTCAGTTAGAATGTGAAATGTCAGAATAATAGTAGAGAGAATGATTTATTTCAGCTTTTATTTCTTTCATCACATTCCCAGTGGGTCAGAAGTTTACATACACTCAATTAGTATTTGGTAGCATTGCCTTTAAATTGTTTAACTTGGGTCAAACGTTTCAGGTAGCCT